TCTTTCAGAAGCCCATGCCCATAGGCAAGCTCGCCAAGTGGCAAATCCTGTTGAGTGAATTCAACATTGTCTACGTAACTCAGAAAGCAGTCAAGGGACAGACACTAGCAGATCACCTTGCGGAAAACCCCGTAGATGGAGAATACGAACCCCTGAAAACGTATTTTCCTGACGAAGAGGTATCATTCATAGGGGAAGACATTGCAGAATCCTATGACGGTTGGAGAATGTTTTTCGACGAAGCAGCAAATTTCAAAGGAGTTGGCATATGAGCGGTCCTAGTATCAGAAACCGGTCAGCATTATCCGGTGTCTGCCAAGATCAGGTTCCCGTGCACCAACAATATGGCCGAGTACGAAGCCTGCATCTTAGGGCTCAAGATAGCCATTGACATGAAAATCCAAGAGTTGCTAGTAATTGGGGACTCAGACCTACTCATACATCAGGTATGAGGAGAATGGGCGACCAAGAATTCCGAGATACTCCCTTATCTGCACCATGTACAGGAGTTGAGAAAGAGGTTCACAAAGGCAGAGTTCCAGCATGTTCCCAAAGTCCAAAATGAGTTTGCCGATGCATTGGCTACCCTATCGTCCATGATACATCATCAAGATACGAACTTCATTGGAAATTCATGCCGGGACCTGTGGTCCACATATGAACGGTTTTGTCTTAGCCAAGAAGATACTCCGGGCTGGTTACTTTTGGATGAATATGGAGACGGACTGCATCTAGTACGTCTTGAAATGCCACCGCTGTCAGATACATGCAGACATGATAAAGATACCACCAAATGAGCTTAATGTAACATGCTCACCACGGCCTTTCGCCGCTTGGGGAATAGATGTTATTGGTCCAATCGAGTCGGCCACTTCAAACGGGCACAGATTCATCCTCGTGGCAATTGACTATTTTACTAAATGGGTCGAAGCAGCGTCTTACAAAGCAATGACTAAGAAAGTCGTGGCAGACTTTGTCCGCGACCGTATTGTTTGTCGGTTCGGGATCCCGGAGTCAATCATTACTGATAATGGCTCCAACCTCAACAGTGACATGATGAAAGCTATGTGTGAGACCTTCAAAATCAGACACAAGAATTCTACAGCCTACAGACCTCAGATGAATGGAGCCGTAGAAGCCGCCAACAAAAAATCAAGAAGATATTGAGGAAATTGATAGAGAAGCATAAGAAATGGCACGAAAAGCTATCATTCGCTCTATTGGAGTATCGCACCACAGTCCGCACAAAACCTGGAGCAACTCCCTATATGTTTGTTTATGGTACAACTACTAGAAAATAGGCCTAAGGCAACGCCACACATTCCGTTGCCATAGTTCTAAACATCTGTTGCGATAAAGCTAGTGCCACGGTTTAGCGTCTGTTGCCGGAACTTGCGTCGCCATTGGTCTATTGCAACGTTTTCAAGCAACAGTTTAATAACCGTTGCCATAGGCACATCTACTGCGACGGTTTTATTATGATCAAAATCAACGATTAATAGTGAGTTATGGTAACGGTTTTGAACCGACGCTATTTGTGTATTGCGACGACTGAGAACCGTTGCCATAGACATTACAACATTTTATATATTATTTTGTTTTACCTGTTGGAACGGTTATTACAAGCTGATGCAACGGTTATGCTGAGCTACTGCAACGCTTATGCTGAGCTACTGCAACGCTTATCCTGAGCTACTATGACTCCTGTTGGAAGCTATATAACGGTATCGCAACAAGATAAATATATAATACACTGAAATTAATATATAACTGACGAAATGAAAATATATTCATCAACAAGAATCATAATTCAAAATATACAACTACGATTATCCATTTATAAAAGTAAAATATACGATAAAAGTGTTTAATAATCCAAGAGTTGGAATACATAAGTTTGCAAAATAGTTCAAAATAAAAACATTCCTAGATTGTCTGAAGATTTTTCGACCAATACTTTTAGGTAAGGTCTTCACTGCTTTCATCTCCCCCTTGATCATTTGTTTCACCTGTAAATTCAACAAGAACAGAAATAGTTAGAGGGTAGGAAAAAAAGTATTGCCTTCTCAATATCATTATTATTGCACTATATATTAACACCAATAAAATAATATGAGTACTTAGAAGACAAAATAAAAGATGAAATTGACATTGCCACTTCAGAAATCAAGCTACAAAAAAGAACTAGAAGTCCAAGTCCAAGTATGTTCCTTCGTATCTCTTCTCTTCTTTTTAGATAAGGCAAGAAAAAGATGTTCTTCTGCTGCTGATTTTCATATTGATATTTTTATTTTTAAGCTGGAAGTTTGCCTGTTCTTGTTGTACTTCTAATCTCTCCAATCAACCAGAACTACAAACAGTTATCTTTTTATTCTATACAGGACCATTTGACGCCAAAAAGAAAAAAGAAAAAGAAGTAAAAACTATAAACATAAGCTCTGCTAATTAGTACTCATGCCTCGTCACTTACTACGACTTCTATGGGTGGTATTAGTACTATGTACTCATTCCCTTGAAGAAGGAAAGGTGACATGCATAAGTGCGAGGAATCACTACTTGAAATCCATAAGAATTGGCCTTATCATTTACTTGATTTGGCAATCAATTATGCGACAAGTGGAGGCAAATATGAACAGCTCCTCATTGCTGCAGCATAGTTTAACACAGGAGATACAAAATAGTGTAAGGATCTCAACAACACACAAAGGAACAACACATGACATCGAGATCAAAAGCAGCTGGATCACAGATGATCACAACAACCATAACGCTGTAGAACAGACTTGTACGTGGATATTCTACTCTTGGAATCCATCTACACATACAGGGAGTCAGGCATCAGGAATAGCACAATGGAATCCATGGAATTAAAAGGAAGGCATGAAATTAGCTAGGAAATGCAATCAGCAGGAGTACACACAGGGAAACTTCTGGATAATACAACAGCTTTTAGCTGGACATAGTGAAGCTGTGCTAAAGTTAAACCTAAGGAAATTTTCACACGCAGCTAACAACATATATCAGGCACACAAGAGGAGAGGCAGAAATCATTTTCACGTAAGGATCGCAGTCAAAAAGTGCAGGAGCCAAGGCATGATCAACACAGATGTGTGGAGCTGGGCAAGGACTGAAGCAGACAGATACAACTGGAGACATCATGATACAAAAGTTGAAGAGCACTGTAATGAGATTATTGGGCTAGTTTTTAGACATAAATGTTACATTAGACCTCATGTGCTATCATTGTTGAGTTTAACACTCAACTTTATATTTTCAGTTAAAAGCTTTTTCAAAAAAGTCAGTAATCAATTCTTGAACGTCAAGCTGGATG